TGTCATCAGACAAGTTCTCATGACTTTAAAGGGGCTTTTGTTTGGATAGTATATTTGGCTTGGGGAATCTTGGACATAGATCTAGATTCTGGATAGAGGAAACCAATCGTCTTCCTGAGGTAGAATATTTGACTGGAGCATCAATTATGGTACTAACTGAAGATGCCCTAAAGTTGTATGATCTATCAAGCTTGATCTAAACAGCTCTAGCCCAAAATTGTTTAATGCTTGGGATTGTCATATTGGGGCTGGTACTATAGGAGCTACATCTGGCAATACTCAATCATCTAGCAAGAATACTTAATCCCAAGTGATGGATTTGTGGATAGATATTCTAGATCTAGCAAGATCTGTTTGGAAGAGGACTATTTCTTCTTTCACTACTGTTTTTAGAGCTCTTGTGTTGAAGGGTGAGCTCACTACTTTGTATTGAATCCTGTATATAATAGTAACATTTGATATCTAGTTTTGGTCTTGCAGTTAGCTATTTTTAAATTTAATATTGGTGTGTCCAATATATTTCTATCCTGGAGAGACATGATGAAGTTCGGGAAATAGTCAAAGTAAACTAGTCCTTCGCATAGGCTTGTTTCCACAATTTCAAGCAAGAAGTCATTGAAATTTAAAAATCTACAATCCTTGAGATAGAGATATAGAGATGTGTTTAGTTCTTCTTGGGTTAGAGGTTCAGCTACCACTTGCACAAGTCCAACATGGAGATAATTGTATTTTTGTCTATGTTTCTGTGATGACCCCACCTTACCCTAAAGCGTACCAAAGGATTTAGCAGACTATTTGCCTAACTCTCGCCAACACTCGCTACAAGTCTCAATCAATCACAATAAAGTATGCCAAAATAACATTGAGGTACGCTAATATAACATCTAAATTCTACAAATCATCCCAATAATATTTAAATTCTTCAAATCCTCTAAAATCCAAACTTAAGTACAAGCCAAAAGAGAAGGGATTAAACATCTAGTTTCCATAATACAGTTTGCCTGTCAACATACAAGCTCAAGATTTCCAAATGAAACCATTGCTGTCCTTGATGTCTCTCATCCCCTATAAGGAAAACAATTATCAAAATGAGTGTATGCCCGGTGAGGTTCTCAGCAAACAAGTAACAGAAAGCACCACAAATTTCACATTTGTCACAATCGTAGGCTTCATAAAAGAATCAACATCTAGATAAATCAAGAATAAGGTCAATAAATAAGCAAGTAATTCTATCAAATTAGCACCATTACCTAAAATAATCAAAGAAACAATTTAACGCAATAAGAAATGGATACGGGTATTGATACGGATTTAGAGGTGTCTCCCGCCAGGTTCCAGACATAGCACTTACCTCCGTTCAGTATTTCACTTGCAACTAAAAGGATAAAATCGACTCTTGCAAGCCAGTTCAGCAGCAGCATTTTTTGAGTCTGTTGACACTTCGTCAACTATTGAAATTCAGTAATAAACAATGTATGTAGATCATAGCTTAATTCCAGTCTCCATCCACTGATCATCCCCTTACTGAGACTAAATGCCAAATATAAAACAATAGAAGACGTGATACTCGAGTATACCGAATCCAGTGCAATAAACAGTGAACACTATCCATGGTTCGTCAATCTACTCGACTAAGCCCTTGCTGGGTTGATTCGACTAATTAGCCAATAGGATTTGGGATCCCAAGCACTCAGTATAGTCGATTGGATAACATACCCAAACAACTTTCAAGCCATGCACACGTATATTAGTTTACTTATAAACAGGATAACAAGAGTTTAGTCAAGTTAGGTCGAGTGTAATAAAGTATACATTTACCTATTCATTTACAGTTCAAGATATAAAGCAGTAGCAATCAACCAAGCACATTAAGCATCATTCCAGTAAATCATGTAGTCCTAACATGTACTTAGAACACTCACCGACTTAGTGAGAATTGTACACTTCGGCTCGGGATCACCCTCTTGCCCCTTCTTGAGTGCTGAGACCAAACATAAGTACACATATGCATGTCGATTCCAACCATCAACATACCATGAGAGAGTGCAGATTACATTCAAGTCTCAAACAAACCAACTCCCACTCCTGCCCAATTGCGGATGCAGCAAGGCCAAGGTTTAAATAAGTAGTCAACTTGTTGACTAAAAATCCTTGATTTAATCACTAAACTATTTGTAATCAAAATTGTAGTACACCAAAGTTTGAGATGCTATGACTACTCTCAAATATATAGTGTGTTAAATTTTATAAGAACATCAAAATAGTCAAACAATCCATATTTTGACGAACGAATTTTTTTAATTTCCTTTTTTATATTCATTTTTAATCATCAATCTTTAGGTGATTAAAATATATCGAGCATCAAATAACTGAGATGCAAGAAAAACTTTATAAAAGAAATTATGTGAAATTCAAACATAGTCAACAATACTAATGTTGACATCATCTAATTAAATAATAATATGAAATAAATGTACATAAGTGCCATGCACAAAAATACTACATAATTCCGAATAAAAACAGGATTATAAAGACAAAATTGATATTGAAATAAATCCATAACCAATGTAAAGTCATGCCTTTAGTTACTTATCTCATAATAAGGTAATAGAAATTCAATAAGCATGTAGATCTATTCATATAAGGTCAACCAATCATCTTCCATAGATTAATATAATACTAATCCTTTTAACTTTAGTGGATTATAAATTTCTTAAATGTATGATTGTTTGATTACTACAACATGTTAGAGTCTTGAGATTATGCCACAAATCTAATAGCATATGCACTAATGCAGTATATCAATACAACAAGAACATGACTTGATATGCAAAATGAATCAAGCAGTATATATGATATAGTTGTTCAACCAATTTAAATATACGTAGGTAAGATTCAAATGAATTACATACTTGATGGCTGAATAACAACTCTTTATATATTTCTCAAATTGTTATACTATATTGATAATAACAATCAATGCATATAATGCTCATAATCACAAATATGTAAGTCCAAGAAGCATTCAAATTACTTGCAAATTATACCAGATTATTGGAAGAAATTTGGATAAATTGCATAGCCAAAGAAGGTATCATACGAATGATACATATTCATGGGATTAGTCATTAGTTCTCAATTATTGAGAAAATGAGGCCATAGATCCTGTGGCAAATTAGATTCGATTCATTTAAACTTGATACGAATCTCTAAAACTTATATTAAATTGCCAATAAGCTATGAATTAATAAGCTGAACAACATAGCTAGAAGCTGGCTCTAACACAACATGTTAAACAAGTAGGTTTAAATAAGTTGTACTACGTAGCGAAAATTTAAATGATTTACCTCAAACCATTGTTATCAAACAGGGATTAAATCCGAATAGTTCCTTGTCTTCTTGCCTTCTTCTTCTCTATATAAACAATTTCTACTAACAAAGAAAATGTGTAGATGTGTAGAATAAGAGATAAGTAGAAGAAGGAATTAGAGTAAGAATCTTCTAACCTATGCTTAACTGGAGAGTATTGTCTTGATGGAATACCACAAGCTATTTATAGCATAAGTTAGGGACCCTTACTGATAAATATCAAAATCCCTAGAGTTTTCTTCTATCAAGAAAATCTTGCCATAATTCATAATCCTTTCTGACTAATTGATTGATTTGATTGATTAGTTGATTGAATAAAATATCAATTAGCAGAAGATAAAAATCAAGCATTAACAAATAACATATACTAATTAATTATTAATCAAATAGCAATCAATTAATTAGAATATCAATCACAATCATTATCTAATAGGAGATACTAATTAATTATTGACAAAATATCAATCAATTAATAAAGACATCAATCACTAGAATCTATATTAGGTAATAATTGCCTCTAAAAGAGGTAAGTCTTACAAAAATAACTTTCTAAAATATTAATGATTGTATACTTCAAAATCCCCAAGATTATTGAAAGCCACATTATTATACTCAAAGTTAAATTATTATTCTCTCCGTCCTAATATGTTTTTGGAGAATGAGGCACTCTATGAAAACATGTAATATTGTAACTAGATTAGGTGGTATTGGATGAACTCGTATATGTAACTTTCAAATTTAGAATATTCACATAATAAAGGTGTGTCGAAATTTGAAAAAGTTACGTTTGTATAAATTTCAAAACGTTTATTCTTTTTTTTGGACATAAAAAAATGTAGAAGATAACCTTCATCATGAGACTGGGGGAGGAGTATAGAAGCAAGCAACGCATATAGTTAGGTAAATGACTTGGTTCTAAGTCATTGAGGATGGATTGTATGAAAAAAAAGAAAGCAATTGGCCAACGTGAATCATATTAATCACGTACAGTTCAGCTACTGTAGGACTCATTCAAATAGTGTGAGGACTCGCAAAATTTACTTATTTAATCTCCTATTTTTAGTTTATTTAATTATTTATTTGGCCTTTTACTCTGAATATTATTTCTAAACTCTTGAGACCTAATTACATGGAAATATAGTTTCATTATATTTTTAAAGTGACTTGTTTCAAAAATTAATTTCCTGGAGCTTGTTTAGTGAAAATAGTGAACACGTCTTTGGAAATCTTGACCGATTGAAAGTACAATAAGTTTGGAATATTGGAGATTTATGTAATGGACCTAAATTAGGTATTTTAATATTTAAATACTCAAGTGATAGTTATTAGTACTATCGTTATAAGAATTTCTCGGAAGTTTCGTATTATCGCACTTAAATTGGAGGTAGGCGTTTTTACGCGCGCGATTTAATTGAAGAACTTTAGACCCTTAGTTAGGGGTAAGTAAGAGTGAATAATATTAATATGAATACAAGTGCATTAGAGATTTAGTGCACTAGTGAAACAAATGCAAGAGGAATCGAGCACAAAACGCAGGAGAGTTGACTTTTAGAGCATTTTGGGCCACACATTCTTAAGCTTCTCATAGGTGCATCACACTAGATCAAAACCCTTCAATTCATCATCTAAAGTGCCGTGCAACTCCTTCTTTTTCTGCTCCAGGAACAGCCGGCCAAGGAAACAAAAGAAACAACTCAAAGCTCTTCAAATTCCATCTTCATTTCTTCAACAAAACACCACCAAACTCCACCAAAATTGAACCACACCTAGCTAATCACTTGGTGATCATCTTAAGCTAGAAAAGGGGCTTCATTTCCACGGTTTTCTTGAGCTTCAAAGTGACCAAAAATTCTGATTTAGTCATCAAGAGAGGTAATGAACGATCAACCTCTTAATTCTTGATTTATGGAAGTTAGATTACACTCATGAGCTCTTGGATTCTCATGGGTAGCTTTAATTGTTGTAAAATTGGTGAGTGGGCTCTATAAACTCCCACTTTGATAGAAAGACTGATTTAATGATTGATTATGAAATTAATGGTGGTTTAGTGTTTTAATTAGTGGATTAATGTTGTATTGTTGGTAGAAAATCATAGGAGGTGCTTGGAACAAAAGTGACCGTTTTACCCCTGCCTTGTCCTGCCATTTTTGTGCAAAATTTTGAGGTTCTAATGACTTGATTATGTTGTTTACATGTTATTGTGAGTGTGTACAAAATTTCATTGAAAAATAACATGATTTGGTTGGTCAAATGAGTTGATTTCCAAAGTTAGCAAAACTGGAAAATGAATCCCGTATTGCCCAGGCAGTCATTTTGTTTCGTTCATAACTCTGTACTCCGATGTCGAAATTGAGTGCCGTCAGTGGCATTTGAAACTAGACATTCCCAGCTTTCCATTGGTATCAAATGCACGTTCTGGTTCCACTTGAGTTAGCCACACCATTCGTTTGAAAATCACTGCCCTGTTTCGTTGCTCTCCAGGAGACAGGACAGAAATTACTTCTTGATGCTCAAAAATGAGTTGCTTGTGAATAGATTTTGAAAATGGTTTCTTCTGAGAAATTCTATATTTCTAAAAGATATTTTCAACGCCACCAACCACGTTCAATTCCGAGTTGAATTGAGTGAGTTGTGTCCATATTTCGAAACTGATGCAGTGAGTAAAAATCCTCTTTTTGGCTAGTAAAGGCCTAACCCTTGGTTGGGACTTGTTGTTTTTGAAATTCTTGGTGTTAATCACCTACCAAATGTATCTTGGATTCTTATTAGACCTGGTTATCACAAATGAGACATGTTTTAGGCATTTTATTGGCCAAAGGTTTTAGAAAAGAAAATTTGAAGTACAAGGCAGATTTGCCTTGAAAATTCTTGAAACTTTGATGGTTTTGTTAACCAACTTGCCGAATGAATTTTCCTATGAAATTTGACAAGGGAATAGCTTTTATATGGTAGTGTAATACTGCTAATTTTGGTGCCATTCTGAGTCTATTTCAATGTCCAACTGAAGTCCCAAAGTTCATGTTTAAATCTGGAAATTCTTGATCGAGGAGGAATTTTTAGCCAACTTTGAGCTGCTATATCTTGGCGTTCAAAACATTGATTCTTGTTCTGTTTGTTTTGTTTTAAACTTTGATTGTAACTCTAATTGAGTTCTAAATTTCGGAGGCTAGTTCGTATTGTGTGAATTTTGCCGAATTTTCAAAGTTGGTCAAAAACCAACCCCGAAACTGTCTTAATAGTCCCAAGCAGCAACTTTGAGTCAATTTTTGAATACCTTCCGTTTGGAATCATGGAAAAGTATCTTCTAGGAACTTTTAGTGCTTTTGAAGAAGTTTCCAACGGTATCAAGCTTTCTAATTATGGACCTACATAGTGCAAGATACGATTTTTCTAAAATTGACACCCAAAGCTGAAATTTGTCAATTTCTTAGAAAATGAGATTTTGGAAACTTGCCTTCTTTTCTTGATATCGATTGAACATTTTGAACTCGATTTCATGGAAAATGTTAGTCTCTCTCTTTAGACTTTAAAACTTTACTCTTGAGCCTCGATTATTAATAATTAAGGGCCAATTCATGAATTCTCCTTAGATTGTACAACCTTCTTTGATAAGTAGGGGTTCTAAGTGATAGTGTATAATAGTTAATGGTTATTTGCTCAGGCGCTCAAGGGGACCTTCAAGAGGAACTAGAAGTGGACGCCTAGACACTTGTTTGAGTATTTACTCTCTTGTTGCAATAGGTGAGTGTTCCATATAGGAATATGTAATTGAAATAAGTCTATGACATGCTTAACCCATGGTCATTAAGTGTTAAGTGCTATATGTTAAGTATTTACCACACTCATGCATATTTGAATAAGGTATACTTGAATTACTCGACGTGAAATACCTGAAGTATGTATATTTGAACTATTCGATATGAAACACTTGAAGAGCATATTTATGTGATTACTTGAAATACTAGATATGAAATGCTTGGAGAGCATATTTACATGATGTGTTTAAATGATTAATTATGCTATGGCAGCATAAGTCGGTTAGAGTGAATCTCCTCGACTCTTACGTGGTAAAAGTGGAAAACGGCCAATGGCGACCTATTAAAATGACATATGTCTACCAATTAACCGTAATTACTATCGTTTACCGTTAACCGTGTTTACTTACCGTTTTCTAATCTATTTGGTTACTTGCCTACTTGATTATCTGCTTGCGTAATCACGAACTTACTTGATTACTTGACCACCTGATTACCTGATTATCATAAATTAAATGCTCATATGAAGTGGGCCACTGTTTTAAGGCGAGTGTGTACTTTATCTCACTCGACCTTTAAACATGATAAATTTTTACCGTACGTCGATTACTTGATTACTTGTGCATGTTGTAAGCTCTAAGCTGAACTTGGGCCCTGCCCTTGGTTACTGACCTACTCGAGCCAGGACTGGGCTCGGTCGGGTAGGTTGGAACCCTGGGCCACCGTTTCAGTAAACTCGAGTATTACCACTGGAGGGATAAGGTGATGGCCAGTCAAACCGAGGGGATCCGGAAGTCATAAGGTGCAGATGACCGACAGAGTTCCACTGGAACACCGTATCCTACAGTATATATTTACCTTGTGTCATGATAATTGTTTCACGCTAAAATGCCAACATGAAATCCTGAGCCATGCCTGTGTTATGCTCCATACCTGTTATCTGTCCAATGTACTCATATCATGATACCTGTTTCATGTTAATGCTCCATACCTGTAACATGCTTATAATTACTCGCACCTGTAATAAGCTCCAATCACTTGTGAACTATACATGCCAATGTCTTGAACCATGATAACTGTCTCATAATAAATGTATCATACCATGATACATGTCTCAAATTAACCGTACAATGATTATCACCTCATGATAACACGCCATTGTGTAACATTAAATCATGCATATGATATGCCCAACTTACTTGATTTATTTGAACTGTTAGAGTGTCTTGGAACCTCACTGGGCTGTGTAGCTCATCCCACGTTGTGATTTTCTTTTACAGGGTTCGAGACCAATGGTGCTCGTGAGTAGTACTAGATTGTTTTCTTTTGAAAACTTTAAGTTATATTATAACGGATGGCTATTGTACAATTTTCCGTTGAGTTGTATTTAAACTTGAAAGTTACATAATTGTAAGTGTGAGATATTTGAAATACTTTAATTATATATTGAAGTTACTTAAAATATTTCGAGCTTTTGAATGATGGATTGTAGTGAGTCCTGGCGAGAGCTGGGCAGGCGTCCCGCGGATACCCTTTGATTCGCCTTAGGGAGAAGTGTGGGCGTCACAAATAGCAAGCAACTACTAATAGTTTATTGATCAAGCTTACAAATAGGAAGCAAACTTAAGCAGTATTCTATCAAACATTAGGCAAGTTAGTTATAAGCATTGTGATTGACCTGAAGGGATGTAATCAGCAAAGCAAGCAAAAGGCCAATGTTACTGTAGCAGCTCCTCTTACTAACACGTGGCACATTGGATGAATTTTGAACCTTTTCTTTTGCTTTGTCTATGGACTTTACATTGTTTACTTTTCCCAAACTACCACGTAAGACATCTTCTACACTGAGCCATGTGGTTGACTCTAGGGAGGGAGTCTACTGGGGAGAAATTTTTTTCCATTTTGTGGCCTCAGAATGTTGACTACTTCTGTGAATAGTATACCACTATTGAGGGCATTTGTGTCTTTTTATGTAAAATTACTACTTTGTCCAGTGAAAAAAAAATGGCTCTCAAAACAGTAACTAACTATTTAGGGCTGTTTGTGACTTTTTGCCTGCCATTCTTCTCCTATCTTTGGCTGTGTTTTCCATTCCTTTCCTTTGTACATCAGACACAATCAAGAATAGTAGCTGAACTGCTTCTATGCATGGTTAGAAAAAACAAAGAAGCAGGTAAGCTTCTTCCTTTCTCCGTATCTTTTTTCACCAAATCCTTCTTATTCTCCACTGTAGAATACACATGGCTAACCTATTAGTGTTAATTATTGCCATGGAAACCACCAATTGTTTCATAGATTGAGTCTAATTTTTGGCACTTTTTTCTCCTTCGTTACATTTTGTGACATTGCGTACAATAGAGGAGAAGAAAAGAGAACTCCAACAAGAAAGAGTTCTGGAGAAAGGGCTGTAGGAAAAGTAAGAATTTATTTCTTTTCCCTTTTGGTTCTGAATTTTATTTTCACCCTTTAGGTATTTATTAGATGATATTCTAACTTTAGTACAAAAATTTTCTTTTTCCTCTTTTTTGCTAAATGTGAATATATGTGTCAATGAATTTTTTCTTCATTTTATTTTTTTCCTTTTTAAATTTTTTTTGTATCAGATGTTCTTCATTTTGTTCTTTCTTTTTCTCTTATTTTTTTATTAGATGATGTTCTGATATTCGAGATGGTTTTTCTCTTTTTGTGTTGTTTCTTTTGGTTGCAATGATTTATCTAGCAAATACAGCTATTCAAGCAAGTCAAGGTTTTGTGAAATCTCATAGACCAATGGCCATCAAAAGTGTTTGATAAAATGTTTGTGTGAAACTTGGGATAGCAGAGAAAACACTGAGAGAATGATCGCACAGGTAAATTCTACTCCGGTCTATATCATTTTTTTCTCTACGGCCAATTCCTTCTACGTTTTTTATGGCACTTTATCTTTCCTTTTCAACATTTTTTTCAGGGCACAAATTATCCTATCAAGAAGTTAATTATTAGTAGATTAGTAGTTGGAACATTGATCTACAATTTTTTGTGCTATAGAAGTTGCCGATTCAAGTATGTCTTACACTTCATCTTCATTTAATAACTTAAAAAACTTATGGTTACCGTTTGTCCAGGTAAAGAGCTACCACATAAATTCTGATGATGCCGATGTAATATAGCATACGATTGAGAATTTCCAACTGTAGAAGTCGAAATTTTGTATTGTTAGTTTGTTATCCCAACCCATATCTTCGATATATCATATGTATTGTATTCCAAAGTTTAATATAAAATTTCTAAGATACATCTTAGACATATCTTAGATAAATCATATGCACATATCCTAGAAATTTTGTGTTGTTAGTTTCTTATCTCTGCACATATTGGTGTACTTAAGAGTTTAATTTCAGGGACCAAGGGGGACATTGTTGACACCATTAACGGTGATTCTGGCAAGTGACTTTATTCTGGGAATGATGGATTTGAGATAAACTTGGCTAATGCGGTGGCTTATTCTCTCCTAGGAGTGCTAATGGGCTTGTCAAGAGTATTGGAGCTGGTGGAGTTGAGAGCAGAAGTCAGCAAACTTTTGTGGGTTCTGGTGTTGGAAAAGAAATTATCCCTCAGGCATCTAAGCCAGCTCAAGAGAAGAAGCCCCAGGTTTCTACTGCTAATGGTCATGCTACAGCCCCTGCTGCTAAGTAAATTTTTCTCCTTTCCTCTGCTGCTTAACATCATAGGAAATAAATAAACTCTTAAATTTTTGTTAATTTCCAGTTCACTGTGTTTTGTTGGAGTAACAAAACAGAAAGGTTTATGTATTGTTGATAACAAGAGCCTAAGAGGCAAAATTGCTAAAATGATAACTAGAACCACTATTGTCCAATTAATTTGTTTAATAATCTTATATCATTATTTAAAGGATAGTCTTTATGAACTCATTATGATTCAAATTGAAATTCATATTCTTATGGTGAAGGCTTGAACTTAATAGTACCCTATAATAACACCCATTGCTTTAAAGACATAGAACTTGCATGTTTAACCATGGCTTTGGTACATGTTGATTTAAGACTTCTGAGTTTCAATTTAGTTTTGCTAAAAATGTCAAGTTTTGGCTGATTTTTTCTCAGAAACTTTTGGCTTAAGACCCAAAAATCTATCCATATTGAGATAGAATGTACCATTAGATGTCCATCATGCAAGGAAGAAATTGGAGTTGAAGCGAGGTAAATGTTATTATTTACTTTTCTAATGCTAGAATTAATAAATCATTTACAACAATTATAACTTCTAATTTGCTTCAGGTAATGGCAAAATATGATAGGCGTCGCTTGGGATTTGTGGTAAATGATGTAACAGGATCTTTACATACTGCAATTTTCAGTCCATATGTTTAGAAATTGTTATCATATACCGCTCTTCATCTAGCCAGCTGATGACCAAGTAAGTTCAACTCCATGAGCTATAACTTGATGAGTTATTGCATAATGATGAGTGCAACTTGATAAATGCGCTTAAATGCTCTTAGAAGAACAATTGTAGGAAAGGATTGAAATATTATACTAAAAAGTCGTATTTTTCCTTAAAGAATTAATGAGGCTTTGTTCAACTTATTTGATCCATTTTATAGCTTTAAGTTTTTCTTATTGGATTAATTCTTTTGTATGACATTTTATCATAAGTTTACCCTTACAAATTCATGTATAACTTTTGGTCTTGACTCTTGAGATATCCTAAAGCCTTATAAGAGCATTCTTTTGGTCAGTTGGAAATAATTGAAAAAGATAAGCTGTCTTAGTTATGGCGTAGGCATAAGTGACTTATAAATTTCTACTATTTGGTTTTTGAATGAGGCTGCCATAAAAAAAATGACTCTGTATGCTTTAATAAGTTATTTGTATCTAATGTATCTGCTTATCTGTTAAAATTTTAGAATGCTACCTTAGTTTTTTATTGTAAAAAGCTATATTGCTTCGCAGTTGGAATTTGCATAGTCACACATGTAATTGTTGATTAAATATTTTAAACAAATATTTCGAACAAAGTTCACTAATGAAATTAAGGATGCTACATATTTGCTAAACTAGCCTCTCATGTTGAGGGGGTTACAATGGTTTTTTCATCCATGCTTTTGATCTAGAAAATCCAAGGACAAAAGGTCAGCGAAGAACAACACTATCAAAGCATACACTACTGAGGTTGGAGGTCAAATTTCAATAGCAATCCCAAATGAAGATCACAAAAGATGTTCCCAAATTTCATATCAATGCTCAAGATCCTTTATGATGGCGTTCTCATAAAGAACTTGATGGAGTAAACGCAAGTTAGCAATCTAATTAGTGGGCGGTCAGTATTTCAATTTATAGTTGTCTAGGATATAGCACTACTAAAAAGTTTATGACAGGCTATTGAATTACTTGGCAGTGGGAAAGTAGAAAAGATGTTAATATTGAACTAGTGCTCAGTTTCTAAACTCTATTATTTTACTCAAATGATGAATTTGTATGCTTAATTCTTCTTTCTCCCTTTTATTAATCTTCTAACTTTCTTTAAACAATTTTCTTCTTACAGGTTTGGATGATTGCAGCTCTCAGCTCCATTAGTTTTTAGCATATATAATGGAACCAATCATTATAGCATTTTTTTTTTCCTTTTTGGCTTTGGATTCTTGAAAAAATTATTGTTGAGATTTTAAGTAGGATATAAATTATGTCAATATCTTTGAAACTACAAAATTGAAATACAATTCTAGACTTTTACCTAAATGAAAAATGTATTTATGAACTATATTATCATCTATTAATTTTTAATCCAAAATTCAAGAGATCATGATACACAGAAAATGGTACATTAAAAGTTATACAATTGAACTAACATTGCCACTTAATATATTCCAAGGAAAGAGACTCCTATGCTTTCTTAAGAAAGCAACTCCAAGAGAAAAAGCAATTAAAGGAACAGCTTTTACCATTATCACAAGCTGTGAAGTTGAACAAGTCCCGGCTAGCCAGCAGACTTAAATGAACCTTCACAATGATTATGCATAAAATTAGTTTCCAACAATGTAATGCTTATGTGCTTCAGAACTGAACTACTTGTGTTTTAATTCAATTATCTTATATCTATTTATCATTTGTGTTAATTCGACTTAGCTATTTTGACTTGCTACCTACGTATGTTTTAATTCTATTATCTTGTATTTGTCTATCCTCTATGTTAATGTACTTCAATTTAATCTCTTTTACCTTGAAAAGCAAATTTATTGATAAGCTATAAATCCAATTCATATATAGATGTCCCTCTATCAAACACGAATAACTTCTGCAAAAATGCTAACCATTATTAATCCTATTGTTTTTCAATTTCTCTGCGTATATTTGCTGAACAAATTATGCATATAATTTTAAAACAAAAAGTATATAAGTATATTATTAATTTGTACTTGAATTAAATTTGTTAAATGAAAAATGTAGACAATAATAAATCCAGTGACAATGACAAAAAAATGTATATTTGAAAGCTATCATTCAAAGAGGGGAAAAAAAGCATCTTAATGAAATGTAATAAAGACATGTATATTTTTCTCATCAAATTTGCATGCTATACTTGGTGGTAATTTCAGTTAGCATTAATGACTCATATTTTAACTAAATATTAATGTATTAATGACTCAAAAGAAAATTGACAAAAAAAATGAAAAAATTCATTTGTTCAAATTTAAATACTGATAATCCAATTTCTCTTCATTTCAATAATATACATACTTTATGTATACTTTCACACATGACACTCTACTGACAAACATTCTATCAAATTTTGCTAACCATTAACGTTTCAAGGTGGGCACTGCCAACACTTACTAGTCTCTACGCACAGCCAACACTTACTAGTCTCTAATCACATAAGGCGCGGAAGGGTTGGGAATAGTGATTTCCTTTGGTTTCTTTGTAATTTGAGTGTTGATTTTATCCTCATTTATCTTTTTCGGTGTGATGGAACTCATTGTGGGGTTATCTCTGCTTCATGTTTGTCGCCCACAAATTCTGAATTTTGGTGGCTCTAGTCCAATTTTACCCTTCCACGCTGGTTTCGCTGTTGTTCCTCTATAGATTTTGGGCTTTTTGGTCCTTTTATTGCAAATAGTACTTTTAGTGGTTAGGTCGCTACCTGCTTCATATGTCTACCCAAATTTCTTCGGGCCTCTCACGTGTTTTGCAAAATTTTGTTGGGTCTGCCGCCTTATGCTAGCCCACTATGGTTGGGTTTCAGACATAAGAAAAATACCACTATATCCATCCATATATAGCTAAAAGCATATGATACGCCAAAAAAAAACTTTAGCTGCCAAATTATTCTTCACAAGTTAAATAGTACCAACAACAAACAATTAAAAATTTGATACAATTTACACATTACTAATCAATACTAAATATTAGAAAAATCAACACAACCTAGAATAATACAACTTAAATTATACTATCATACACACTAAAAAATCCTTCAATTAATCCACTCTCACAACTTTCACTAGCATAAAATTAATCAGAGCCAATAATTAAATCACAATTAGACAAATCACAAATATACAGTAAACACTAAAAACACCAAAAAATTAAAAATGCAAAACAATTAACCACTCTACCAATATAAAAGCATATCAAAATCATAATCATTCAAAATATGACAAATTCATACTACATTGTAAAAATTTGTTACAAATCTTTACACATGTTTCAATATAAAATACATGTACATATAATTAATAAACAAACAAAGGAGGGTTGGATTGGATGGTCAGATGAAAGGAATGATAAGTAATAAATTTTGAACCTAAAATCTTCCACTTATAAAAAAATAATAATAATAATAAAACCTATAGTACCCCAAAACACACAAAAAAACGTATAATATGGGCACCCCGCAACCCCGCGGGGACCAATGCCTAATTTTTCATTATACTAATACGATTTCTTAACCATGTGGATCACATGCTACCACCCAATAGAAATCAATGCCATTTGTTAACATCGACTACTTTTATCATATAACATCCAGTCAAAATATGCCCAAAACACAAAGGGATTATCTGGGTACTATATGTGTGATCATAAAATGCAAGAAAGAAGTGGAGTTGTCGAAGAAATCTGAAATCATAAAAGGGGACCTTCTTGACGAAAAAATAGTCATAATGTGCCATATTGGCGTTAAGAAATCTGATGAAAAGCCTGATAACATCCCTTGGGGGCATAATACTGTGAACGGCCAAATCAGCGAACGGACACTAAATTCCAGTCTCGATCTTTGACCCCTTCCGGGGACCCTAAAGCAATCGAAGTGCTATAATGAATGCTAGTTATGATTTTCAACTCATAACTTTAAAATGGTAAACAAATGAGTCACTGCTTTATGATTCACCATTAATACTTGTCAATTGTCATCTTACTATTATGGTTGTTTCTTTTTGCGTAAGCAGTATTACTAGCATGATTGTTGTTTCCATTCCTATGTTAACAAACTTGAGAAATTCAAAATCTGAAAAACATGTAATGTTTGGTGACTTTCAATATTGTCACTCAAACCAGACGATTCTCTAGGAGATACTCGTTAGCATTTTCCATGGGAAAAAGTTTTCTCCAAATTTATTTGTTCAAAATGGAAAATATTTGAGATTTAACATTCCTTCAAAACGAAATTAAAACAATAATTTATCTTGTTATTAGTTTATTACTCGTTCTCTGGAAGACCTCTGATTTCGAAGTCAAGAATTCAAATCAGGGAGTATTGTGGAACAGGTTAATCCCAATTCCTTGCACAGCTCCGGATACAAAGCCTTCCTTAACTCAGCATAGACCTCCCCGTTCCACTTATCTAACTTCTGCTGTTCACCAGCCAGATGGTTTGCTTTTTCCTCTGCAACTTCCAGCGCATTGTCTCCAGGCTCAGGCTTCGTCTCTAAAATATGGATTTTTGCTGCTGCTTTTGTATCGTAGTGTGAGTCGCACAAGACAAAGTTACGGTAAGCCAGAGGGTAGGCAACCTTTGACCTAATCAGAGCCGCGAAGTAGGCTGGTAAAGCCATCTGTTTGGCCGACAAACTTAGTTGTAGGCAACGGGTACCTTTCTTCATGGTGAGATAGTCATGGCTGAGACCGAGCATCACCCCTGCTTCTTGCGTGTAGCCATTGATGGCCGCAATTGTGGGCATGGGAAGGGAGATGAGATCTGATACTACATGCTTGAAGTCGTCAATCATCATTTCGTAGTGGCGTTTGTAACTTTCATTTGACCCTTTTGCTTGCTCCCTGGCATATCTGATAAGGGGAAAAGGGTAACAACGTCAGATTTGAACAGATTACAAGAAGCCGCTCGAAGGGTTTTAGATTCTACGGAAGGTACATGTCATCCAAACACATAGTGTAAAGAAAGTAACACCAAAGAGTTACAAAAGATCTAAAACCTGCTTTTATTTCCATTAATTATTTGTTTAGTAATTTATTTTATTTTTACTTTTTAAGTTTTAAGGTACAATGGGAAGGTTTAGGAACCGAATCTTGGCTCTAAGGCCAGAAACGAATATGGCAAATTATGGTTTCACATCTTTTTCTTAGCCTACAATTCGATCTTATGATCTTTTCAGCTCAATCAATGGTGGAATCGTAGAAGAGGTTATACAGTCTTACTTTTAGGCTAAATTTGTACTCTGAGTATTGTCCATACAATTTCTTCCTAATATTTTCAGCCCAGAGAAAAATTGTCAGGGTAAACGACAGAACGCAAGGTTTGTAACTCCATTTTTCTGTGGTATCTGCCAAAATGGTAGAAAAAGAGCAGTAATTAAATTACTTAACTTCTCTTCTCATAATCATAGGAATTACTTGAAATTTGCTTTGGAAATTAGTCAGTCTCTGTGATCAATATTTCTTTCTTAAACTTCGGAAAATTTGTGATTTCTGGCATATAAAACCTTGCTGTCGGTTTGTGCTCTTAAGATGAACTTCTCTTGGACGATGCTCTTCAATTTGCAAAGAGATATTATCTTTAACAAGTCATGTTTAATTTGCCAGTAACATACCTGTCATCAAATCCTTTGCAGAATACTTCACCCTCACCAGTGGTGATGAGGACAGATTCCTTGGTGGCCTCGGACTTAACCACATCAAGACATTCCCGGATAGTCTGAATGAGTTCCGGGTTTAAAACATTGCCATAGCTGGCTTGGTTCAAAGTGAGTAGGAAAGATTTGTTAGTTTCATGTTGCTGCAAGCATATGCCAGAGCCGTACTGCCCTTTCAGGTAGTGGTAATGGCGTTTTGCTTGTCTGAACAATTTTGGTAGCATGACTGTTAACAGAATAGACAATGGTAGGTCTTTTAGTTCCAGAAATACGCTGCTTCCGAACATGTGGTAATGAGTATTTATACTTGTAGATGCGGGAGAACTGCAGTTTTCGCCTCTAGTTTGTTTTCCATTGATGGGAATTGGAGCAGTTATGGATGAATTAGGTGCAATTGTGTACGGTTATTATACTTTATTCATAACTTGGTGTATACTTATAAACGCGGTTGTATTTAGGTATTGAATTGATGTATACGAATAGAATAAAATTTATGAATACAGTAAAATTATATAAAAGTACACTATTTTGTATAAAAAGTACAATAACAGTTCAATTGTACCATTTTAACTACATGTGCCTGTAGTCCCTTCTGATGTAACTACTTGATCATCTCTTTTTGTCCATTGACATTTTTATTTAGGGAAGTTGCTATGTT